CAACTCTTTGAGGAAAGGGAGGTTCACAGGGGTTCATTGTAGTCGGAATTTGAATCCAGGTTTTTCTGACTCCAAAGTCACTATTATCTTTTCAATGGAAAGATGAGTCTCTGGGTAACTTGGGGCCATGTGCACATAAGTACTTGCTGAATTTTAATGAGTGGCTCTGGATTAATAATTAATAATTAATTAATTAATAATTAATAATCCTAGTGGATCACTGGGATTATTGGTTTTCTGACCTAGAGGGAACCTTCATGCTGGGGTAGAAACTAGACATTAGAAATTGATTTTAAATTAAAAAAAGGAACTCCACCCCCAAAAGGAAAAGAAATTAGGTAAAGGTTCTGCTTTCACTTCTGCTCCTACGTTATGTGGGACGAGAACTATGGACCTCTTTTGAGGAGACTCCTCATTTCTGGATACTAAGATGGTGTGCCAGACGTGGAGAGGCATTGCTCAGATTCCCCCTCCAAGAAAGAGCTCCTGGCTGAGCTGTGAGGAGTGTGGTTAGCTGACAGCCTCCACGGCTCAGATTTGCCTCAGTTCTTGAGCTGAGGTACTGGTCTTCTTGAGGTGGCTCCAGCCAATGACCAAACATGACTATGGTACAAAGTCCTATCTAATTTCTGCCTGACGCAGGACTCTTCCAACATCCTTCAGAGCTTCCCACTGGGCTGACAACTTTTGTTGGATCTATGTCACCTTTTCCTAATCCTTCTGTAATCCTGCCTCTTCCTTTTTCCTTTCACAAATGTTGCTCTCTGGTAAGCCTTTTACACCCCAAATCTGTCCAGTATCTGCTTTCCAGAGGACCCAGCTGACACAGATGGTATGTTGTTAGCCCCAAGCAACCTTTCATTCATAAAGGGCGTGGATATTTTTGAACTGGATTTGAGTTGGTACCAAGAGAATAAATAATCACGCTGGGTGCTAGGGACCAAAAAATACTTCCATTCTGGCACATGAATTAAATAAGCTTGTGTTTCTTCCTATTCTTGGCACTGACAATGTTTTGATATTATATAACATGGCTCGGATGTTCCCACTGGCTTTCTCAGGGAGTGATCTGTTCAATTCATTAAAAGTATGACTGAAGTCAAGGTCACTAAGTCCATTTCCAGTCAGCCAATTCATTTCAGTCGAGTTGCCTGGCTCTAAATGGATTGTTATCCATTCATATATGGATTCCATAAGCCCCTTGCCCACACGCTGAGTCGCAATGTAGACCAATCGTTTCTCAACCACCTGGAAGACTGTCACCCTTCTCTTGGGTCACTTATAAAACATCCTGTATCTGGTGTTGTGTGAGGAAGTCCTAATGTGTTGGTGACTGGGTTCTTCATTTGAAGCCATGAATGAAAGGGAAGAATTTTTCCTTTTTGGTATGGAAGTACCTCCTAATTCCTTATAAGAAGAACAGTGTCTTCATGTCATCCATCCATCCATTCAATTAGCAAATATCCATTTACTAAGAAGAGTTGTTACATGCTTTTCACTGGGTCAGACTCTTGGCGGCTCCACCCAGAGTTCTACGTTTCTGAGAAATCTGCATGTGGCTTCCCCAGTTGTAACCACCAGGCAGACGCCTCTGAGCGTCTAAAGCATTGCTTATTCCTGTTCCATTCGTCCTTCATGTCAGAAACATCAAGCTTTGATCTTCGACAGATGAAGTCTTAAGAGTCGGGGTTCTGGGATCAGACAGTCTTAGCTTCAAATACGGGCTCTCCTACAGACTGCCAGTGTGATCCTGGTCTGTTTACTTAACCTCTCTGAATCTTAGTTCATACCTCTGTAAAACAGGATAATCCCTATCATATAAAGCTCCTATGAGGATTAAATGAAAGGATATTTATAAAACACTTATCTAATACTGAGTTATGACTCTATTTCTGACATTAAAATATTGTTTTTGTATATCAGGCTCTTGGACAGATGATATTTGTACTGTTGCCTCCTCATTGTAACTATTTGCCTTGGTGAGTGGATTCTGGCACAGTCCCATCCTTGAACAAATGTGACTTTGAACAAGACCTTCTTTCTTTGATTACCAGATTGTTCCTAAGTTTGATGAAGCCTGAAAGTCTTAAATATAAAAGTTGCTGATGCAACTTTACTGTAATAAAGCAATTTGGATTCAGGCTTCATGTTTGAAATGTAGCTATAGGATTGAATATTCGCTCTCTGGTCTTAAAAGATTGGTAGATATTTGGGGCCTAGGCAGTTCATCCCTGGAATGACCCTTAACAAGAGTCAGGACCCTACTCAGCTGATCCCATAAAAGATAAGGTGCAAAGACTAGCTTCCCAATACAGCATCAGAGGCCAGAAAGTACCCTTAGTCCATCTGCTGTCATTGTGCTGACTGGGACGGCCTCATCAGAGGTGCTGTTTGTCCCCTAGCAGAAGGGAAGGTGTCCATGTCTTGGGGCCCATAAACTGGAAGGGCAAGTCCATTCTCAGCTCTTTCCCCACAAAACCTTGACTTCCCAGAGACCCTCTCTCTCCCTCTCCACTGGACTGGGAAAGGATGGATGTCTATTAAAGCTTATGCTCCACTCATCTGAAGGGAAGAAATTCTGCCTCTGCTCCTGGGCTTAAATGGTCAGTCTTTAACTGAGTCAAATCACATTTTAGTCTTTCCCCTTTTATTCCTCATCTTCATTACTATTGGCTTGCAAATAAAAAATATATATATTATTGCAAGTATTTTCTCCCAAATTGTCTCTTTCATTCTTTTGTGACTTTTATAAAACAGAACTGTTTAATTTTGATCCTGTCCTATTTATGAAATTGCTGTTTTAGGACTCATCCTTTCAGTATTGTATCTAGAAAATCTTTGCCTAACATAGGGTGACAGATATTTTCTCTCTGTTCTCTTTGAAAAGTTTGTAGTTTTAGGTTTTCAGTTTATGTCTATGATCCATATTGTGTTAAGTTTTGTATATGATGTAAGAATTGAAATTCATCTCACTGCATGGATAGCCAACTGTTATAGCATCATTTGTTGAAAATATCATATCCTTTGACAAAAATCTGTCAGTCATTCATATAGGTGTTGATCACGCTAATACCACACTGTCTTTCTTATGGTAGTTTTATTTAAAAATCTTGAAATAGAATATTGTTAATCTTCCAACTTGTTCATCATTTCCAAATTTGTCTTGGCTATTCTAGACCCTTTGCATTTTCATATAAATTTAAAATCTATTTTCCAGTTTCTAGCAAAAAAAGTCCCTACTGTGATATTGATGTTGGTTAAGCAAATGGAGGAAGTAATGTACACAGCCTTTGCCACCAATTCAAGGTCAAGTCTTCCATCAAGGGGCAGGAAAACCCATAGCCAACCCATAGTGGCTAAAGTTACATAGAACTCAAAATCCCAGTGCCTGGATGCTGGTTGAGCAGGAATTAGGAATAGACACGGGGGCTGGAGTGACTTTTTTTTTTTTAAAGATTTATTTATTTATTTGAGAGAAAGAGCGAGGGAGCTAGCACAGCAGGAGAAGGGAGAGAGGGAGAGAGAGAGAAAATCTCAAGCAGACTCTGCACTGAGCACAGAGCCTGATGTGGGGCTCTATCTCAGGACCCTGAGATCATGACCTGAGCCAAAATCAAGAGTGAGATACTTAGCCGAGTGAGCCACCCAGGTGTTAATGGAGTGCCTCTTTCAGTGGAGCTGCAGATAAAATGCCACAGTTCCTAGGTTCACTGCCTTGTGCACAGCCCCATCCATGACACCAACATCTTTCTGTTTGGGGGGTAGTGCAGAAGGGGGCAAGGTGCAAGGCATAAATGAACCACAGCTTTTGACAAGCCCCAGCTGGGGGCCAAGACCCTACTCACCTGCAATGCTCTTCCCACATGCCCTCCGCAGCTTCATACTCTCCCTAACTTTGAAGACCTATGCCAAGTCCCACCTTCTCCAGGAATAATTCTCTGGACAGTATGTGCCAGACATTACGCTGAGGGTTCTACACATCATCTCATCTAATCCCTATAGTAATCTATGAGGAATAGATTTTGAAGATTTTGAATAGATTTTGAAGCCTTATGGCTTCAGAATGGCAGAGATAGGAAGGAAGCCCAGATCTACATTAACTCCAAAGCCAGGTTCTTAAGCCCTTTCTACATGATACCACCTCCTCAGTGTTACCCCTTTTCTGACCTACGATGGTTTGGACTTAGTCTTGCTCAGTTGGGTTATTTCATATGCTTGTAGAATCAAGTTTTCATTGAGGAAATGAAGCATTTCCCCAACTCCATTGAAGGTTACCTGAAGGAACAGATGACATCTTGCACTTCTCCATCTCTCTTACAAGGCCCTGTGGTCTAGTGAGGTATACACAGGGTTAAACAATTTGTCCGTTCATTGTGGGGGAAGGGGGAAACCACAGTGGTTCAGAGAATAAGGAAAAGAAATTAAAATATACTGAATACCAGAAACCATATTTCATTATTTTATTTGATCCTATTTTGATCAACTCTATTTTAATGTTTTGTGAAAGGTACTATCATCTTTGGTAGAGATAGTTTCTTTGCTTCTGAAATTAATAACAATGGAGCAGCATGCACAATTCTGCACACTATGTGAGTGGTCGAATATTGACCCCTACACACTCCTCTTCCCAGTTATAGTGCGTTCCCACCACACATCATTGCCTTTCTGATTCCAAGCCAGATCCACGGTTAAATCTGGTTCCAAAAGGCAGCTCTTTCCGCACCCCCCCCAACTATTTTTCTTGCGTATGTGTTTTGGGAAATTTAAGGCCACCAAGTAGATCTAAAAGAGATGAGACTGCCAAGTTTCAAAAGGGCAAGAACAATTCTTGGCCCCACACCAGTGAATGACAGACCATTTCACGGAGTGGGAGGAGAAAAGGAGAAAAGGTGGTGTCCCCTAGACAAAAAAACCAGACCCAGACCAGATACAAAAACAGAGGAGCTGGGGAGTGGAGCCACCATCCAGTAGAGACTCCCTCTCAGCGACTGTGGGGAAGACGGTACTATCTCCTGCCAAGATGAAGCTGCTGTTGCTGGGTCTGGGGCTGATTCTAGTCTGTGCCCACGAGGAAGGAAATGATGTTGTGAGAAGCAACATCGATGATTCGAAGGTAAAGTTGGTAGAGTGCAGTAGCTTCCTACCTGGGGGATGGTATGGAGGAATCTGGGGCAACATGGCCGTACTGGAGGGCGGGTGCTCAGACTTTCCACTAAGAGCAGTTGTCCCATGTGAAAAGATGGCAAAGTTTGAGGGACCTCTCTTCTCCCTGGAGGGACAGTTGAAAGAGCCCTAGATGTGGCACCAATTGACCTGAGGTCTAATTCCACGTTCATGTCACCATCATGAGTCCCAGCCCACAGGCCAGGGTTCACAGAGACACGTGATGTGTCTCTGTGGTGTTCCCTTTCCTCTTTTCTTACCCAATGCTTTTACTGATTTATTACAGATTTCAGGATATTGGTATTCCATTCTCTTGGCCTCCGATGTCAGGGAAAAGATAGAAGAAGGTGGCAGCATGAGGGTTTTTGTGAAACACATCGAAGTCCTGAGCAACTCTTCTCTGCTCTTTAACATGAGTACAAAGTAAGTGTGGCCTTTTTCATTTGGGAAAGGAAACATGAGAGTCTGAATATGGCGTTGGAACTCTGTGTGGGGCACACAGGCGTACACATACATCCCGGGTCTGTACTCAAAATCAGAGCCCATTACGTGACACTGATCCAGGACCTAGAGAACCTGGGCCTTTTCTAGATTCAGAGAAAAGAATCGTGACAGAAATATATTAAAGCAGGAGTAGAGGAGGTAAGGGGTAGAGAGTTTCAGAATCATAAGGAGTGTGGCATAGGTTTGGAGCACAAGATTTGGAATTGGCACCCTATCTCTCCCTTGAACCTCTCTCTTACTACCTGTATGACCAAGAAACTTCATCTCTTTCCACCCCAACTTTCCCTTGGGTAAAGAGGATAATAATAATTCCCTTGTGGTGTTTGGCAAGGACCATGTGAGGTAATGTTTGTAGAGCACTTTTCTGAGAGGTTGGCACATGGTGAGTCTGTGGCTAATTATCTAACCAGGTGTTTGTAGTAATAGCGGGAAATGGTGGCAGAAGACCAGTGATGGAAGCCATTGATTCATTCTTAAAGTGTCACCTGAAGTGAAGTAATGCAAATAAAAGCTCTTTGGAAACTGCACCCCCAAAGTGTTCAACAGTTAAGTGGAATCAGAAACTCATAAGTAGAGTGTGGGGGAGCTAGTCCATCAATACTCTGGGACATCAGCTTATTCTGTTTTACAGAGTGGACGGAAAGTGTACTGAGATTTCTGTGCTTACTAACAAAACAGAAAAGGATGGTGAATATAGTGTTGTGTGTAAGTACATGAAAACGTCTTTCTATATTCTACCTCCAAGCCCAAGAATTTACTAAACCCCAATATCTTCAGGATCTTGAGCCATTCCCGATAGTGTATACGCACATGATATAATGGGGGCCATCTAATAGACAATATCCTGAATTGGGAAGAATCTTGCATACAAAAGCCAATGCCTGGCACATCATACCATCAGATAAAGGAGGCAGTTTGGTCATATGTACGTCCACCAAGGAAAGAAAATTGGCAGAAAAACAAGTGGCAGGACAGCTTCTCATTCCCCGCCCAATTTCTGATGATGTCTGGTGGGCCATTGCCACAGCACATGGCTCAGCATATAGCACTGGGTATGGAAAGCCAGTGGGGCTTGTAGAGAGGACAGAGAACCAGTGTTGGCAGAGATGGTCAGGAGTGGTAGGTGAGTCTCAGGGAGGATGATAGAGCACAAGTTGCCACTTTGGTTAAATTTTTCTACCACTAGTAGTCATTGTACCAATATCCCTTGGGATGTTGCCTCATGAAGCCCACGGGAGATGTAGATGAAGGCATTAGATACCACTCTCTATCTCTTCCACCATATGCACTTGAATTTGTTTTGTGGATGAGACCAGGTAAAGGGTTTCCCTTGCTTCCCATGGACCAAACAAGCTCTGAGCTGTATTCTGTTTCCTCCACAGATGATGGATACAATGTATTTAGCATTGTTGAAACAGACTACACTGGCTATATTGTGTTTCATCTTGTGAATATCAAGGAGGAGCACACATTCCAACTGATGAAGCTCTATGGTAGAGTATTTTCAGGCCGACACTCATCTTGGGGTGGGGAGGGAGAGGAAGGAAGGTAAGCCTGGAGACAAAGCAGTCCTCCCAATTTTATCCTGGAATGTCTTAGCTCCCCTGAAGACAGATGCTCACCTTTGGTAATCCCTCAGATTACCAAATGGGAAAATGATAACATCTTTCATCATGCCAGAAGTATATCCTGAAGATGTCACATTCAAGACAGGTTATAACTCATCCCCAAGACTTCCACCTAGGCACCCAATCAGTGCTGTCCATTTCCCCGTCCATCTGGAGCCACCCCATCATGAGCCTCAGTGACATACTTAAGACACAACAGTTCCTGTCACTCTTCCCACAGCCCGAGAACCAGACGTGAGTGAAGAAGTCAAGAAAAGGTTTGTGAAATATTGCCAAAAACATGGAATTGTTGAGGAAAACATAATCGACCTGACCAAAGTTGGTAAGTTTAGCTATTTTTGGTTTTCCCTTCCTAAATTCCGATGTTACTGAAGGGGAAAAAAAAACAAGAGAAGACAATCCCCCCAATCAGTCCCCTATGTCTTACCCTGGAAAGTGAACTGGGGTCAGTGTTCTCATGTGCTCTGTCTTTCCAGATCGCTGTCTCCACACCCAGGGGAGTGAAGAGGACCAGGACTCCAGGTTGGTCATCTCTGGTGGAGAGGGTGGCCCAGGGATGAGTGCCTTCCAGAAGCATTAGGGGTTTGTGTCCAAAGATGATAATGAAAATAATTTGGTAAGGAAGCTTATGGGGAGAGCTTGAGATGTGGAACTGGAATGGCTGGGTTCAGGACTCATTCCTACCATGAGCTTTTGAACAAATGACCTACATTTACGAGGGGAACAACAATGTCTCCGCTACTGAGTTACTTCATGGACATAATGCTGGTGAAAGACCTCAGTAACTGGTGATGTGCTAAAAATGATTAAGACTTAAACATTTGAAAAGGGGAAAGAGTAACAGGGTGTGAGTTTCATAGTCATTCCTGAATATTCATGTACACACCCGCTTCTGTGTTCATGGTCTATCTTCCACGCCCAGAAGCCATCTCACCCTCTAATGTATGGCAGACGTTTCTTCCTTCCATCTCTGCTCATCTTTAACTTCTCATCTCAGATTAGAGCTGTCTGAACGCCTGCTTGTCTTGTAAGCTGGAAAATAGACTCTGAATTTTCTCTTTGGTTTCCTAGCTTAGATATATTGTGGAGCTTCGTTAAGATAATGTGGGTTGCATAAAGTCAGCCTTTATTAAATGTAGCTATGGCTTTGCCATTATCTCTCCATTTATCAAAATCTCTTCAAAATATCTCTTGCTGAAGATGGCAGAACAAGCCTAGCATCCCTCTTTGCTTCCTTTCTTTGTTTCATAGATTCAGTTTGGGGAAGATTAAGATGGAATTAGCAACAGAAAAAAAAAAAAAAAGGCATTTGCTCATTGCCCTCCCTCCCCTATTCTGAGAAATAACGTAGGTTAGAACACAGGTTGATATCTTCTTCTTCACCATTTGGCTTGATAATAAAAATTTTTTTTTGCTCTTAATTCAATCCACGAAGTACTTAATACATTTCTGTGTTCTCTTTTTCATCTGCTGATTTAGTGCTGAGTGAATGCTTCCTCATCTGGGCTCCAGGATCTTCCCTTGCATGGTCCCCACGCCATCTAGTAACAAGTTCTGGGACCTGATTTCCATCATGATCGCTTGTGGAAGCATTAGCTCTGTCTGCATTTTCAGGATCTTCCCTAATTGTCTAGGAAAACTCATCAACTGACCAAGAATCAAAGATTTCCTCCTAACTTCCAAATCTCTGCCATACCCAGGAGAACACTACCATGAATAAGACCTTCTTCTGCCTGGGCAATAAATGATTAGTCTTGCAGTCCTGTGGTTTGTTTTTGTGTATATGAGAGACGTGGGGCTGACGACAAACGAATGGGGGGGTGAACTCTGAACCCATAATCCTTCTCTAGCTTCTCAGAATCGTTCCTGAGTTTCTCCCTCCTCTGCAGTAATTCTCTGTCCCTGTGAGTGCCGCTTGCCCTTTGATTTGTCTATTTTTTGGAAATGGAAGGGCAAGGCAGAGAGAGAAAGAAATGATATGGGCAAACAGGGCCGAATCAGCACCGTCCTTTGGGTCCTTAGTACAGAGCTGGGTCCCTCACGCAGTGACTCATGCAGGGTTGGGAGCAAGTGTCACAGTGGCCAGTGGGGTCACAGAAGGAAGCTGACTGCCTGTGGCCTGCAAAGGAGATACCACCACCCATTAAGAAGGAAAAAACAGCCCCTGCTATTCTGGAACTAGCCTGACTCCCACCACTAGGCTTTAGTGTTATCACAAATTGGCCGTGATGCTCACAGCTAGACCACTGTTAATCCAATTAGACATAAACAATCTCATCAAACATCAACACCAGACTACGTCACTCTGAGATCATAAAAACAAGGTCATTGCGCAAATATGCCTTCTCTCTGCTAAAATGAGTGAATTCTACATCTTTATCCTCATGTTCATGTCCTCTCCTTATGGATAAGATTTATTAAGATAACCAATCTGACTAGCCCCTGCTTTCTGACTGCACCCAATAGAGAGTTTCCCCAGATCCTCCCCAAATCCTGTAGTAGGTTCTTCCTAACCCTCTCTTACTGAGATGCTCATGGTTCCCCATGGTGACGCTCTTCCTTCCTGCAATAATTAACCCAACTTGTTCAATTCCAGCATGTTCCTGGTGATCTTTGGTTGAAGAGTATTAATCTTTTTAGGATTAGAACCGGGACCCACTCCATGCATGTGCTGCCTGGAATTCTGGGAGGCACCAAGCTAAATCACAAATGCTAGGTCTGCTTTAATGCTATGCATGCTTAGGGGCTAGGACATGGGACCCTCCAAGGAGTTTGGCCTAGGCAACTAGGAGGATGGAATTGCCATTTTCTCCAGTCCGCTGGAGGAACCAGTGTAGTGGGGAAGGACCTCAAGATCTCAGTTTGGGACACTTCATTAGTTTATCTACCTTGCCTGCTATTAAAAAAAAAAAAAAAAAAGAAAAAAAAAAGGAGGGGGAACCCTACCATAATCCGGTGTGGTTTATTGAAGATAGAATTAATTTTGCCCTCCAATGAACAATCTGAAGCAAGAGTTCCAAGTTGACTGGCAATTCTGTTCTTTCTATCTTATTTCTCCAACTCTAGGACAGTTGTCTTCATCCGTGTGGTTAAGCTGAGTTGTAGGAAGTGAGAGAAAGGAGAATGTGGTGGAAACATGGTCTTATGGCCACTGTCCTCTGTGGCCCTTGGCTCTGGGAGCTTCTGGTTCATTGCACCACAGCCACACCCACGTTCCGCTTGTCAAAGCTTGGAGAGATTACTTTGAGGATTAAAGAGTCACATGCTTTTGCTACTGGCCAGACCTAAATTTCTTTTGGCAATGCAAATGTCTTCAAAGACAGTAGTAGTCTTCTGATGCATTTAACTCTTGACTTCTCCTGTATGGATAACCAGATCCCCCCAAATCTTATTCAAGCATAGATTTAAGCCTGGAAATGCCGGGATTTTCTAGATTGACATTTATGCCCTTCCCACCCCATCTCCCTTTCTTAATTTAAAGTGGTTACTTTGAGCCCACTGGAAACAAAGGATTTGGGTGCAATGGGCCGTAACACCTTCTTTGCCTGCAGGCTTGCGACTTTTTACAGCACAGCCTTACGTTCTACTTATGTCCTACTAAGACTTGACTGCCACTTCACAGCCGCTGCTTACAACTGCTTCACTTGGGGGTAAAGAAGCCGTGACCCACCCTGAGATTCTGCTTTCTCCTGAGTTCCCAGAGATGCCAATGCTGTCCGCCCCCCGGGTGTTGGGGGTGTGGGGCGGTAACACAGGTGAAGTGAAACTATTCCTTTAACTTTCTTCGGTGCTGCTAGTCTTGGATTATGTTGCTCCACTTGGGTGCTGGAACCTCCCAGGTGTACTTCCTAACTCCCACTGAGGGATTCTCACCCAGGTGATTCTGTGAGGGGATGAGGGCTCACACCACCTCTTCTGCCATCTTGCTGATGTCAACCCAGGCGGGTTATTTCACCAAAAAGACATACAGAGAGAAAGGCATCGTATTTTCAAACCCATTTAAACATCTTCTAGAATATCTAATGGAATCAGGGATCCTACAAAAGATGGCAGAACTTGCCACTACCAGGAGCTATGCTACTGCTTCTTGGTACATTTTGCTCAGGAACTGGAGGCCCCATCTCCCAGCCAAGTCCCACCAGGGATTCTCCACCATAATACTTAAATCCTAAGGTTTTGGGGTTTTTTTTTATTATTATTATTTCTTATCATCCTAACTATCACCTCACTGACTATCAACACATTCTTAGGGCCTGAAAACAAATTGAGTAAAGGAAGGGAAATAAATTTGCTGCAAAGAGCCCCAGGGAGCAATATTTCAAAAGCAGACAAGTACGAATTCAGATTACTCAGTAGGTCATATATGCCCCGTTTCCTTCCAGGAGTTAAAAATATATGCAAGGAAACTTTGCTTGGGCCTCAAAATATAGCGAGGAAAAGTGTATTTGCATCCAGTGGAATGGGAGACGTGTGTCCCAGGTTGATTTTCTGTTTTTGTTTTGTTTTGTTTTAAAGATTTTATTTATTTATTTCACAGCCAGAGATCACAAGTAGGCAGAGAGGCAGGTAGAGAGAGGGGGGGAAACAGGCTCCCTGCCGAGCAGAGAGCCCGATGCAGGACTCGATCCCAGGACCCTGGGATCATGACCTGAGCCGAAGGCAGAGGCCTTAACTCACTGAGCCATCCAGGCGCCCCTGATTTTCTGTTTTGCTTAACAAGTCACCGCAGCACAAGTTTTGAAGGTCACAAGACTGACACAGGGTTCACTGAACCAACACAAAGTGAACCCCAAGTCTGCCAATTTATTCAGATCACCTTCTATGTCTTTTTTTTTTTTTTTTTTTTAGAGTTTTAAAGTTTTCTCCTTAGTTATCTTCTTGTGTTTTCATGATTGTTGATTCCTATATGCTTCGACTCTCTGTTTTGGTTTTCGGTTTTTGTAACCACTAGTTGTTATCATGAGTTTTTGCTGGCTATAGAGAAATGGTATTGGTTTTCATAAGTTGATTGCTTTAGCAAGCTTGATGACATTTTTTGATTAGTTACAACAAAATCAGTTCTAATACTTTATGGATTCTGTTGGTTTTATAGGTGTATGGTCATATTACCTGCGAAGAGTGTCAATTATGTCTTCTAATCCGTTCAAGTCTCTCTCTCCCCCCTCCCTTTTTTCTCTCCCTGTAATGTTAGCCAGAACCTCAGGCCAATTTTAAACATTGAAACAATGCTTTCAATACCAGGGGTTGGCAAACCATGGCCCATAGGCCAAATCCTTCCATCTGCCTATTTTTGTATAGCCTATGAGCTAAGAACACGTTAGGAACACTGATTTTCAACCCCAATTAAGCAAAATATTATCCCTCCCAAATCCATTCTTCTAACCAATAGACCTCTGTTAAAAATAAATTGTACTCAACATTATATTTTAAGTCTCATCAACAATGTGCTTTCTGTATTATTATGTCAGTACCTACATAATATCTTTGATTTTACCTCTTAGCCCACAAAAACTAAAATAGTTACTCTCTGGCCCTTCAGAGAAGCAGATTGCCAGCTCCCGTTTCTATACATGGCCTCTCCCCCCTGTTTTTTACTGTAGTTATTTGTGCGCATTTCCCCCAAGCAGACAGGCTTGTCCCTGCAGCGCACCTTCAGTAAAATGAGCCTTCGATCATGTCACTGTGGGACAAGGAGCTATTTGCAAGCTGTCCTTTTACGGCTCTCCTTCAAATATCGGGACTGTCTTGAGCCTGGAAGGAGGAAATTTAGATGAAAATCAAATAAACTTCCAGAGTAAATAGCAAACCAGGACACCCTGAGGTTTTACTTTGGGGTTTAAGGACAAGGATGAAAATTCCAAATCTCTACTCTAGGCTCAGAGGACTTTGTCATCTGCTCTTCTTGTCCCAGGACAGGACTTCAGTGCAGACTGTGGTCCTGGAAGCAAGCCCATCGAGATACTCGCTGTTGTTCTTAAAAATTAACATTTCAGAAACACTGTTCTGTTGGATTCAAAAAACGTATGATGGATCAGTTTGGGTTATTAGGATAATAGACAATTACTGGCTAACCTCTTGGTAAAGCCAGAGAACTGGAGTGCCAGGTGGCTTCCGAGAGCCTGGCCTGGGAGATAAGACCTGGCCAGCAGCACAGACACCATTAACCAGCAGCCAAGATCCCCATAGCCTGACACAACGACCGTAATTCTCCACATTTCTGTTAAGCCTGATTAGTTATGCACACCGTTTTCCTCAGACACCCCATGAGCAATCCCACCTCTGCACCCTTGTCCTTGCTGTTCCCTCTGTACGAAATACTCGTCCCCCAGATAGCGGCCTGGCCCGCTCCCTCGCCACCTTCTGGCCCCTGTGCGTCCCCCCTACAGAGGACTCCTCCAAACCCCAAGGATCAAGTAGCACTCTTTCTCCACCTTCCTTGACTGGCCTCTCCTTTTTATTTGTTTATTGCTTGGACCCCCTCCCTCAAGAGTGTAAGTACAAGGAAGCCAAGGAGTTTCTTTTGTTCACCACAGTAGCCAACACCAGAAGCGTGCTTAGCGTGACACAG